TTTTTTTTCTTTCGTTACCCCAGCACTTGTGCTGTACAATTGTTCATTCTATCCGGAGTAGTTAGTGATTGTAAAACGCACAAGTGTTTCAATTTTCCGTGATTTTGAGAAAACGAGATTTTCATGTATAATTATTCCGTGAATGCATGGATTTACGAGAATAAGTCTAATAATCTTTTTTATAGATCAAAAAATTTGGAATCGAAACGATTTTTTCAGTTTTTTTGATAAAGTGAAGCGATAGGGAGATAGAAACGACGGAGTAATTGAAAAAAAAACTGATCACTTCCAAGTAATTTTTTTCTCATTACCTTTCGTTAATTCCACAATTTTCCAATAATTTTCAAAATTTTTATCTATAACTACACTCAACTGAAAAAGATTTTGGTAATTACCCCCGATTTTAATAACAATCTGATGAGATGAATGAATTTACAGCGCGAATTGGGAGAGATTTAAAAACGAGAAAAACAGAAGAATAATTTGAAACAACAATCCCATTAACATTATTGATTATTTACCCCGAATTCCTCAGGAAAAAAATAAATCTGAATTTATGACAGACCTTGTATCTGGATTTATATAAAAAAATACGTAGAAGAGGGGAATTCACTGACACCTGAGAAAATACGAGGAGAACTAGTCTTGAATAACAAAGCCATTGACTTTTGATTCATAGTCTCCAGTTGGTACTCTATTGTCACCCGTTAACAAATAGTTGATGTAATAAAAGCGTATCGCATGTTCTCGCACTCAACAATAAAAAAAAAATCAGCTGAACGAGAGAATAATTCCAGTCAGTGGAAATCAGGAGTTAATGGTTCCTAATTGATTAATTAAAATGGATTAATCCGATTGATCATGATTAGTTGGATAATGGAGATGATTAATTTATCATTATTTGTTATGATTATTATTAATTTCCGGAAGTAAATAAATTTAGAGTTTATATCAATAGAATTGATTAATAAATTAAAAAGGAATGATTTTTCAGAAAAATTAGTGGATAACTTCTGAAGAAGGAGATCATTTTGGTATTCAATTATTATAAATAAATCTATCAATAATTTATAATGATAGAATTAATTACTGATATTTTTATAAAGAGAGAAAATGAGAGAATATTTTCAGAGTGTGGGTTTGGGATAATTAGGAGTTCCATAATTATTTTTAATTGATATTCATTAATGAGATTATTGATTTGAGATTCAAAGGTGATAATTAGTTTGATAGGAATTTTTGGGAGGTACAATTGAAGCGATGGAAATGCGGATATCTCTAACTTGGAAAACTCTCGGTTTCCGCTGGAGGGAAAGTCGACTTTCCCTCTCGACGAATCTCGAGGTCGAGGTCGTGGATATTGTGGGGTATTTATCGACCCGGGGGCGAGGCCCTGTTTCTCTCGTAAACGCGTAATTGCATGTGCGCAATGACACGTGACAGTATTTTCAATTTTTTTTAAACGAAAAATCAATTTTTTATCACAAGAAAAGAATTTATCAGAGATTTCAATTAAAAATGGGAAAATTCATGAATAAATTATGAGGTCAATGGAATTAATCAATCAACAAAAGGAATAATTTTCTAGAGAAATTGGTGAACAAATTCTGTGGCGAAAAATCAAAAATCATTTTTCCCTATTTTCCATTCTATCGTAATTTTAATTATTATAAATAAATCAATTAATAGACAACAAATCTATAATTGATATTTACTCATTTGAATGAATAATCATTTAAGAATTATTGACGTGAAAAAATAATGATTTTGTACAAAAATGAAGAATTAGAAAGAATAAATAATGATAATAAATTGATAAATCATTTCGATCTGTGAATATTTTAAATTAATATTCATGAATTTAAATCA